TATAAAGAAAATGCTAGCTAGTGATGGAAAATCATCATAAAGAAACACAACAAAAGCAGCAAAGGCAGATATTCAGAAAAGACTAGAAAATTGTCCAAGAAAATTAAGAGTATTTGTTGTAACTCAATCTTTGACCTTTATTTTTGCACACGTTTCAAAAAAAAAATATGGGTGTTTTTTTTAGTAATTTTAGTTAATTTCATTATTTCCTTTAATTATTTTTATTTTAATATACTTTCAAAAAATTGGGTTACAACGTATTTACAAATAATCTAGAAAAAATGTTTATACATAGAATTGGAAACTTAGATATTTTTTTTCTTTTATGGATTTTTTTCAAATTGTTTTTCCTTTTCTAGATTTTTTTATCTTAAAGTTAGAAGTGTATATAAAAGGTCAGTGTTCATACCAAAAATATCTTGATTTTAGTGCTTGATTAAGTGTGTGTTTAAAATTGAGATAGCTTTTGTGATGGTAATTTAAAAAATTAATTTTTTAAAACAGCTATAAATTATAATATTTTCTTAATCAAGGTCCAACAAAAAGTTTTTAGTGGGATTGAAAATAAACTACGTAATTGTTTTATTAACCAAACATAATTGAACTTGTGGTTGAGGCAACCTCAAAAATAGAAATAGACGGACTCTAAATAAATATTGACTATTAAGATTTTAATTATTCAAGTATTATTTTAAAGTTTTGATTAAAAAAATTATAGATCATAGTTTATTGAATATATATGAATGCATTCCAATCTCAAAATTGGAGACATGGTTCACATTTTTATCACTCCTCAAGTTTTTATTATTGCAAACCAAGTTTATTATATTTTTCTGTCTTGTTTAGACTATTTTTGAAGGATTTCTGTTAGTTAAAAGGGTATCATTTTCCGTTTACTTTAATAAGATAAACTACATGAGGTTTGGTAGAAATTTACAAAAAATAAAAATAAAAATTCTAGTTGCCAAATATTATATGAAAAAGGAAAATTTAGTTGCCCAAACAAGAAAAAAATAAATCTTGAAAATAAATATTTTTGTGAGGAAAATACTTGGCATATCATCATCTCTATCACTCACTTTGTTGTCTCTCATCAAGTAATTAATAATGTTAACCTAATTTACTATAATTTTCCTTTTCTTGTTTAGGAAAGTGTTTTGTGTACGTGTGTGTGTATAAATAATAATATATTAATAAAACACTTTAAAATATAATATTATTAGACAATAATAAATTAATACTAATATATTTATATAGGAAATAATATATTAGGATATATTAAGTATAAAAGTACATTAATTTTATTTTTTAGTACATATAATACTTTAATTTAGATAATATTGCTAGAAAATACATTTGAATGCAAAACATGTTATATTATACAATAATCATACATAAATTGTGTTTTAAAATTAGAATACCAAATAATCTTCAATGTTCTCCAAACACCAGAAAACAGTTTTATGTTTATAATATTATATTTAAAATATTTATATTATATGTACAATTACATTTTATAAAATAAATTATATATAACTATATAAATAAAAAAATGAGTTGTTAAAAGATTTTGATATTATTATTTTTTATAAAAAAATAATATAAAATTATCTTTTTATAACTAAGCATCATTTAACGGCTTAATTTCTTTTTAAGAAAATTCTTTTACACTAAGGAAGATAAAACTTGAACCATTATCTCGTAGATCTTCGTTAAATATGCTATATCTATCCTTGTCTTGCTTTGGAAAATTGTGCTGTTTCTTAAACATATGAGGTAATCAAACCTGATTAGATGGATTAGAAACGTGATTATGAATTAATTGTTGTTAATTTGCTAGATAAACATGAATGGATTAATAATATTCCTAATTAATCTAGCTAGGCCTAGTGGTTGTGTTGTCCTTTTACTAGAATATCCTTGTAGCCATTCACAAAGAGAGACATATTCCAGATATAGTTTCCAAAAGAAGAAGAAAAATAACGAAGTCTAGATTAAAGATGTTACAAGAACCTTGGTTTTCAATGAAATTACGCCCTTAATATTGACATTTTTGGACCAATATCACAAAGTTTATTAATTATATATTGATTCAATCATGGGAGTAATGATTTAGTAACTTGGGCGCATGACAAAATTATATTTTTCCTATTTTAGGTCTTTAGATTATGCGCAGAAGAAATTAAAGGAGAATCTCGATTATTTCTTTACTCGATATTAATATATAAAAATGAGTACTGTTATATAATTTTTTTTAATGAATATATATGAAAGCAATACATACTTTTATTTTTATTTTCTGGACAAGTCTTTGCTTGTCCCTTCATTTTTCTGAACCTCGAGATTATTTTACTTGAATTCAGGAATATTTAATTAATAATAACCTCTTAATGTTAATAATTCTGGCATTCCATGCCCATGAGGAAAATACCTGGCCTGTCATCATCCCTACCACTCACATTCTTGTCTCCCCTCGAGCAATTAATAATGGTAGACAAAGTTTACTATGTTTTTCTTTGTCTTGTTGGGGAAAGTTCTCCACTAGTTAAACATCTGGGGTGCTCCTACCTTATGAATTTAAATTACAAACGTTCATTAATTAATTAATGGTCCAAATCCAGGTCTTGTTAAATAAAATAAATTAATAAACCATAAATAGTCATAGATCTTGGATCCTCACAAGATTTTTAGACCATCATAGGATTTATCCCCATTGGACGTACGTACGAGCTCGTTCATATTTATTTTTACATGTCATCTTCTGTTTTCATTTTTTATTTTGAATCAAGTAGATAAAGTAAGGTTGTAGAAGAAATTTGAACACTTTAAATATTTAATGAAAATAATTATAATTTTTAATTTAACTGATGAATCGTGGTTAAATTTTCGATTCAAGTGTGATGGAGAAATTTAAATTGGGCTTAAAAGAAGTTGATTTTAAATTTTAATTATTTGTATTGTTATTTATATATTTTAATAATCTTTCCTAGGTAGTTTTTGTTTTTAATTTTTTTTTCTATATGGGTTAGGTTGATTTTCATGTTATATAAACAATTGTTGAATGATTTTTCAAGTCAGTTTTATAAATTACTGAATTTCATAATAAATTAAACAATTTTTCTCTGTATCTAAAACTTGAGAACCCTTATTTTATATCTTTCACTATATCCTGCATCATATTTTATTGTTTTTCCTTTAATTTCCAACCTTCCATATATATATATATGTATATATATATATATGTATATTGATGTCCCTAAGCCCTATAAATGAGGCCCTAAAGAGTGCTGTTCACCTCACACCGCCAGTAAGCTAATAATAATCTTGCTTCCACTAGTTTGATACTTCTGCTAATTGTAAGTCTCCCTCTCCCTCTCCCTCTTACCATACTTTCTCTCAATGCTCTTTCTAGGAGTGCCTAGGTCCATATCAAAGGATTTGTGTGATTGATCTTGTAGTAATCTCCACTCCCCCTTCTCCAAACATATAATATAAGAATTGCTAATTTCTGTATGTAGAAATGATATTTCTTATTTGCCCAAATTTGTTATTGCAACTTCTTTTTTTTGTGCATAAAACCCACAAATGGGATTAATACGATCTTTTTATATGTATGGATATATGTGTAGGGTATTTATTTTGTTCATAACTCAAGTTCTTTTCTCTAATTATGAATTGTCGCATTTGGAGATTGGCTTTTGATCCTTTCAAGATTAGATCAAATTTAATTATATGCTTAAATGAATAAATTGAAATAATTTATTTTTGGTTGATAATTTTGCATGGACGTGGTTGTTTTTATTTACAGACAAAAAGACTTGGAACACTCATGGATTCTCTGCGATATTTCCATCAAGCAACGTCTGCCTCAAATATTGGTGGTTTCAATGACAAGAACAATGCAGGAAATATGGTGGATCTGAACCTGAAACTAGGTTTGGCAAATCATTATGAATTAAATCATCAAATAAAACTAAGTGATTTATTCAATATTCCAGTCCCCGTGACGACTCCTAGCCTTGCCACCTTCAACTTCAATGGCCCCAACACCAGTGATGAGGTATATATTTATCTCTAGTTAAATTTCTCATAAAAAAATATTGGGAAAAAAATCATATTCTCCCTTAATTAATTAGTTAACCTAAAAAAAGAAAAATCAGTTGACAAACAATATGATTAACTGTGTGGTATATATATAGTTAAAATGATGATCGATGTTTGATCTTAATTTCGATTATTAATTGATTTTTACAGCAAAGTAAACATAATTTTCTTTCATGATAATTTATTTATGAAAATCATCGTCAAATCACATCAATTATCTGTTTGTTTTTCAATGATATTTAAGAGTCGTCATTGTTTGAGCATAACTTGCAAGTTTCATATAAATTTTATTTCTACAAATATAAAAACTAAAAATATATAAGTAATATCCTAAAAAGCCATAAATGAATATGGAGAAAGATTACATAATCCTAGATTCTGATTAGTCAATTGGAACACACATAATTAAAAATGACGTTGCGAGTTAATTATACTATTTTTCAATATAGTTAATTTGTGCCAGAAAACCTACAGTTGTCCTTCTTTAAAATATGAATTTATAAATAATCATTAATGGAAGTTCGTAATTAGCTATAGCTTGAACGACAAATTTCTCATCATCTTGTGTTTTTTACTATAAATCACTACCGAAATGCTCGAAATATAAATTTTTGAAAATATAAATTAAATAAATTAAAGCCTTTAATTAATTATGAAAATCTGAACATAGATTGTTTTACAACACTCTATTTAACTGGGGCTGATCTTTAGGAAATCCTGATATAAAATTGTATTTTCTTGAATCACTCTCATTTTCATTTTGCGTTCACAAGTTTAATTATGTTGTAAAAATCTTCAAAAGACCAACAACAAAAATAATAATAATAATTGCCTTAACAGGAGATTAACCATGGACATGTTGATACATATCATTCTGGAACAATTTGTGATGAGGATAGCACGATGGTCGGAGGACCCCCTTCCTCCTCCCATGGATTGGGCAACGGGAGGCCCACCGTCCCATCTACACAGGAGACGGGGAGCCAACCCCATGCGATCAACTTGAATAATAATGTGTTGAACCCTCCTGCTGCTGCTGCTGATCAAAATAGTAGCTCCATGCTGGAAGTCGGTGGCTACTTCAACACCGATTTGCTTCCACCAGCTACCTTGAACAATTACATCCTCTTGGATTCCTCATCCAGGGACGCTGAGAGTGGAAAATCTCCGGGAACACACAAGTGCCGATGTGAAATATGTCACTTCCATCCTCGCAAAACATGCCTCAATCCTCTCTGCGGAACAAATAACACTCCTATGTGGCGCGGAGGTCCCCTCGGACCCAGGGTGACTCCTTTAATTTCCAAAAATTTACATTGCAAGCAATAAATTTTTTATTATTATCTGGTTATGTGTGTGTGTGTTCGAGTGGCAGTGCTGATGTTTTTCTTCTTCTTTTTTTTTTTTTTTCATTATTTAAGACTTTATGTAATGCTTGCGGCATAAGGTATAAGAGAGAAAAGGTTCGACGGAGGGCTTGAGAAGAAGCTGGTAAAGGGTCGAAGAAGCGGAGTAGCTGTTCTATAAAAAGGGCCTTTTGTTTTCGTATATTCTATGTAATAAAAGCCTCACGGCTCTTTTTATTTTCCAAAGCGCATGGTAGAACTAATATTAATAAATATATGATCAGTGATTTCTACCTTTTTCTCGTCTTAATAACTTAAGAAATTAGTCGGAACATATATAATATTCAAATTAAAAGTACAATATCATGACAATATAGCAGCATCAATTTTTTCATTAGAATAAATATAATTACTTCCACATTGTTTTAACGAAAATCATTTTCATCAAATAACAAATATCCCCTGTTTATTTTTCACATTCTTTTATGCAAATATATTATTGGTAGAGAATTACACGTTAACTATCCTCAAGTTTCATTTTCAAAAATTTAAAAGATTATATATATATATATATATATAATTTGTGTAAAAAAAAATTAGTTATCAATTATATAAGGTTATATATCATTAGCCACCAAGCATATTGATGTAATCTTTCCCACTATTCAGTGAAAAATACATCAAAACAGGCTGATTGACTTTAATTACTACAAATAAGTCATAATCTAATTAACGAGTTCTTTACATTACGATATCATGGAATAATAAAAAAACATGAAAACTAAAATATATATTTTTTAACATTTTTTGTCAAGCATTGTTAAGTGTTATAGAATTGGAGAAAAGACATAAAAGCTGAAAGGAAGAAGATGAAGAATTTATTCACTAGATTCATTTTAATTTCTATCGAAGAATCTTTTCAATTTAAAAAGTTTAAATTATAAAATGGTTTTATAATATCCAATGCTACATTATGCTTAATTTTATTAATTTATTTTAATAAAATACAAATAATAAAATTTAAACTTACAATCACTTAATTATTAAAGTTTTGATATCATATTAAATAATAATCTTAATAAAAGTGAAAAAAACATAAATTATTATATGAATCACTTAATTATTTAAGTTTTGATATCATATTAAATAATGATCTCAATACAAGTGAAAAAAACATAAATTATTATATGAAACTTCAAGAATGACTTTATAATACTCCAACACATTTAATTCCTAAGGATTAGACTGGAATCTCTTTGAATCATTGGAGTTAATATTGAGAAAATTTAAACTAAAAGAGCCAAAGCAAATTATTGATAAACTTGCAGAACATCAATATATAAATTTAAAAAAGAAGTGAGAAAGGTCATTTGACATTTTTTGGCCATGTGCAACTTCAACTTATGAACAAAAATATATGAGAGTGATTTCAGTGTTAGCAGCAAAGGAAAAGATAAGCTGAAAAGACTTACCTATGATGTGAAGCAGAACTTAAAATAAAAAATTTCATAATTAATAGCTCTAATTAAATATAACATATAAAAAATCTATGTTTAGATTTCAATATTAATTTAAGGTTGAGGATTTAGAAAATTTCCATTTTAACACGGGATTTTGATAGGTAATGTTATAAGAAATTTTATAATATTCAAATAAAAATATTTAATGATATCTTTTATTAGTTATTCAATTAAATTCATCTTAAATATATACAGAATAGGCACAAGAAAAAGAAAGACAACCCACGTGGAGATCTTAATACTTTTTATATATAGGTAATGGATTTGATTTTCTCCCCTTTTTTTGTTTATTTTTTAAAAAATAGATTTAGAAGAGTAACTAGCAAAATAGCATTAATTACTGTGTACTATAATTTTTTTCGTTACAATGATAAAAACAACAAGGATAGATTTATTTTTTCAGGATAATTATTTCCATAAACAACTAATTAAAAAATGATATTATTAAGAAAAATTACTGCACCTTTATCTGGCAAAAACTGTTTTAAACAATACCAATAATTTTGTCATATCGAGGTAACTTATTATTTCCATAAAAAACTAATTAGGAAAATCATATTTTTTTAAAAGAAAAATGAGTGCAAAAAACAGCCAAGTTACTTCTGGCTTTAGAAATTAATTCTAAAACACCACTTACATATTTATTAAAATTAATTCTACCACGCAATTAAAAAAATAAAAAAACTGCAGTGATATCACTATTTATTTTTGTATTTCAAAAATATTTTTTAAAAAAATTAAATATTTTTATTAATTTTAAATTAAATATTTTTAATATTTTTAAATTATTTTGATATATTTATATCAAAAATAATTTTTAAAAAATAAAAAAATTATTAACATATATTTTAACATGAAAACACTCACAACACTTCAAAAAAACCTATATGAGCGAACAGAGCAGAACAGCTACACAGCTAAGTTGCTTTTGACCTTCGAAATCGATCTCTTCTCGTCCAATTCTCATGTTGGTTCTATATATATATATATATATATATATATATATATATATAAAATATCA